TGCAATTCCAGTGATTTGCTCCTCACACAGCGTCAGCTGTACTTGTTCCTCAATGCTGGTCAGAGGCATCTCATCTACTGTGCCCCCTCCTCTTTTGTTCGCAGATGTTTTGTTATATGCCAGTTTTTCTTTGGTTCGCCTTCTAATATCCTGGTATCTTCTTTTTACTTCATCCACTGTTCGCAAGGTTTCACTGACAGCGTTTACTTTATTACTGATTTGTTCACATATAGCGTTCCTCTGTGTGACAGGCACACTTCTTTGCTGTAGCTCACTTAAATGTTTGTTGGCTTCATCCACCAACACCTCCATTTCCATGGGGTCGAATTTCCTTTTGCGCATTCTGCTGTCCAAACTCGCCATGCCGCAAACCACAAAACGTGCAAAACCATCATTTAAATAGGGCGTCTCCAACAGTTTTGCACCTGCCACCAGTTACGCATTCGCTCTTGTTAAATCACCCGCAAACCATGGTTCAGCCCCTCGCGCAAAATTCCAGTTTGCGAGCGCAAATTACTGCACGCAAAATTGGATCTTGATAAATCCGGCCCTTGACCCTTAGTTTCCCTCATCCAAATTGCAAAGCCACAAAACATCTTCCTTTGGAACTTTGAATTGTCCACCACATCCTCACTCTGAATTTTTAGATCAGTTTTCAGAATTCCTGTCTGATTTAATGTTAAATACCGACAAGGTCATCATACTGGGGGATTTTAACATCCATGCTGACATCGAAGGTGATAGCTTAAATGCAGCCTTTAATTCTCTTTGACTAGATTGGCTTTGTTCAAAATGTGAATAGTCTTACACATTCTCATCTTCATATTATGGACCTTGTGCTGTCATATTAAATGTGATGGAATAACAGTACCTATTTCCTTACCCCCCAGTAGCCTTTGGAACCAGTCTGAACTTTGAACCAGTCTGACTGGATGATCTGGTTGAATGTTTCTGAAAAGTGCCTTGAGATGTCATGTGTTGTGAAATGGTTATATATAAATAAACGGAATTGAATTTAATAGCCTAGAAACATAGGTATTTTAGCAAAGGCTTAGTGATGTTCCAAAATGTTCCCTTTATTAATTGAACTCGGCATGAAATTTTGTTATTTAAAAAAAAAAACATCTTTGATCTTTTTTTTAGTAATCTGTACAAATTGAACCCATCATCCCTGCAAGTCTGGATTAATATATGAATAGTACCGGATTGCATTTTATGTAGAGAGATGATAGAAGCTTTGTGATGCAACACAGGCGAAGACTAACAGCATGTTACACAACAATTCAGAGTGAAATGAAATATTCAAAAGCAAAACTTTGTGTTTCTTGATATTTTGGACCAATTTAGCAGCATGCAGCTGCTTTCTGGCAGATTTCCTTTTTTACCCTCACAGTACTTTTCGGCGATGCAAGACAATGATATCTGGAAAATATATTTTACCAGCAGAATTGTGTTAATAAATTTATATTATGACAGACTTTATTGTTGCTTGTCTGTCCAGCATCAGCACTCCAACGTCAGAAGGAACTCATCTCTTTCCACCTCTATTTGTCTTAGAATAAACTCTGAGTTAAGGTAGATAAAGTGAATTTATGCAACCTACATTCAGTGTCTTTAAATCCCTTTACAAGCTGAAGGTGCATCGTCACACCATTATTGTCTATTGTCCTCACTCTGTAGGTGCTGAGAAAATTATGCTTGTTGCCCTGTCCCAAACATTTGTTTTGAGCTCTTAAAATATAAAACAAATATGTTTATTTGGTTTTCTCATCTGCTTTGTTTTATGAAAAGCATAGCCCTCTACTATTATGAAGAACACTGTGAACATTTGGAAACGAAGTGTACATTGTAAATTGAAAGGGTGTTACCTTAGTCATAGTATTTGTTTTTTGACACAACACTGCCCTCTAGTGAAAGTTAACCAAATATCTATGCAATTGTGGAAGATAAATTTAAGAGTAAGATATCTACAGATATTAAATATAACATTAGTGCTGAAAACAAACATCTGTTAATTTTGAAATATATATATATATTCTGAGACTTTCTCATGGACTTTATACTACTAAAGCCACTGTTCTAACTAAAGCAATCATATATATATGAAGTTCCATAACCATAAGGTGTATACCCAATAACTAAATTTCAAGGTAAATACAACTAGGGTTATGCTCACCTTTTCTTTTTTTATTGGTTTTGTTTTCTTAAATACAGCATGAACCTAACATTTGACTGAGGTGTGTACACTGTTTTTCTACGCAGATCAATTACAAGATAAAAATCCAGGGTTTTTCTTCCTCTTGATCTTCATTCCACTACTACTATTTTTTGTCATTATTAGGGACTGATTAAGCTATTTTAATGCAGATGCAGAAACTTAACAGTCTAAGCAAACCCCAATCCTAATTTTTTGGGGCTACTATTTTAAGCCAATATTGCTTTTTCTAGCTCAATTTACATGATACAGATGACAGAATCAGAATCAGGAATACTTTAATAATCCCAGAGAGAAATTACTTTTGTTACACGCTCCAGTTACAGTTTTATATATATATATATATATATATATATATATATATATATATATATATATATATATATATATATATATATATATATATATATATATATATATATATATATATATATATATATACACATATATATACAGGTGCTGGTCATAAAATTAGAATATCATGAAAAAGTAGATTGATTTCAGTAATTCCATTTAAAAAGTGAAACTTGTATATTATATTCATACATTACATACAAACTCATATATTTCAGATGTTTATTTTGTTTAATTTTGATTATTAAAAATGACAACAAATGAAAATCTCAAATTCATCATATCAGAAAATTAGAATATTGTGAAAAGGTTCAAAATTGATGGCCCCTGGTGCCACACTCTAATCAGCTAATTAACTCAAACCACCTGCAAAAGCCTTTAAATGGTCTTTCAGTCTAGTTCTATAGGCTACACAATCATGGGGAAGACTGCTGACTTGACAGTTGTCCAAAAGACGACCATCGACACCTTGCACAAGGAGGGCAAGACACAAAAGGTCATCGCTAAAGAGGCTGGCTGTTCACAGAGCTCAGTGTCCAAGCACATTAATAGAGAGGCGAAGGGAAGGAAAAGATGTGGTCGAAAAAAGTGTACAAGCAAGAGAGATAACCGCACCCTGGAGAGGATTGTGAAACAAAACCCATTCAAAAATGTGGGGGAGATTCACAAGGAGTGGACTGCAGCTGGAGTGAGTGCTTCAAGAACCACCACACACAGACGTATGAAAGACATGGGTTTCTGCTGTCGCATTCCTTGTGTCAAGCCACTCTTGAACCACCGACAGCGTCAGAAGCGTCTTGCCTGGGCTAAAGAGAAACAGGACTGGACTGCTGGTGAGTGGTCCAAAGTCATGTTCTCTGATGAAAGTAAATTTTGCATTTCCTTTGGAAATCAAGGTCCCAGAGTCTGGAGGAAAAGAAGAGAGGCACTTCATCCACGTTGCTTGAAGTCCAGTGTAAAGTTTCCACAGTCAGTGATGGTTTGGGGTGCCATGTCATCTGCTGGTGTTGGTCCATTGTGTTTTCTGAGGTCCAGGGTCAACGCAGCCACATACCAGGAAGTTTTAGAGCACTTCATGCTTCCTGCAGCTGACCAACTTTTTGGAGATGCAGATTTCATTTTCCAACAGGACTTGGCACCTGCACACAGTGCCAAAGCTACCAGTACCTGGTTGAAGGACCATGGTATCCCTGTTCTTAATTGGCCAGCAAACTCTCCTGACCTTAACCCCATAGAAAATCTATGGGGTATTGTGAAGAAGAAGATGCAATACACCAGACCCAACAATTCAGAAGAGCTAAAAGCCACTATTAGAGCAACCTGGGCTATCATAACACCTGAGCAGTGCCACAGACTGATCGACTCCATGCCACGCCGCATTGCTGCAGTAATACAGGCCAAAGGAGGCCCAACTAAATACTGAGTGCTGTACATGCTCATACTTTTCATGTTCATACTTTTCAGTTGGCCAACATTTCTATAAATCCTTTGTTTTTATTGGTCTTCAGTAATATTCTAATTTTCTGATATGATGAATTTGAGATTTTCATTTGTTGTCATTTGTAATCATCAAAATTAAACAAAATAAACATCTGAAATATATGAGTTTGTATGTAATGTATGAATATAATATACAAGTTTCACTTTTTAAATGGAATTACTGAAATCAATCTACTTTTTCATGATATTCTAATTTTATGACCAGCACCTGTGTATATATATATATATATATATATATATATATATATATATAATATATATATATATATATATATATATATATATATATATATACACACATCCAACTACACAATATAATAAAGATAAAAAAATAAGAATAAAAAGAGATAAAATATATACACATATAACTCTTCTGTATATATGAGATAGAATATATATACATATAGCTCTTCTGTATATATATAGAATGTTAAAAAGTTTTTTTTTTTAAATGTTAAAAAAAGAAATTCACAAGTCTAAGTTATTAAAAAAATCTAACAAAGCATTAACAATGGACAGCAAATGGAGGGAACAACAATGCATGCGCTTTACATGCATGACACTTCCTGTTTACTGTTCTTTCTGACTGTGTATATCCGCCCAGAATATCTCCTCAGCCTCCAGCATTGTACCAATGCTTCCTTTGTTGCAGCGATGACAGCAGATGTTGTTGTATGTTTTCACCTGACTTTCAAACGTACTAACCCTCCACCCATGAATTTTCAGAGTTTCTTCCTAGATCTGCTCTTTTAAAACAGGTTTGCACCTGTTTTATAATCTTCTGAAAAACCACCCCACAATGTGTAGTGCTGAGTCCTCCATTTCCATTTATGATGAAAAATCTTGTTTTGTGTTTAAAAAAAATCTAATATTTGATGAAAAAACTTTAGACATTAAATTAAATTTGTTCATGTTTTACCTTTAATGAAAAGAAATAAGAAATTATTTACAGCAAAGAAATATTTCAGAAATACAAGCCAATAAATGTAAAATTATAATTAAGTAGAAGAACATGCAATTGTTCGTCAAAAAACACAGATTTATATAGATGGAGTGAAATAAATATATACTCATACATTTCCAACACAATCTTTGAAAAACAAAGAAACATTTCACTTGATTTCAAAGGAGATGTGCACAAAAATAATAAAACCAAAAAAAAAGAAGCCAATACAAGTGTTGAGTTGGGATGCAACACTGTTTAACTTTGTGTGAGGAATTGCTGATAATATCCAGTTGGGGGAAATGCAAAATATTTTAATCATCAAAATTATCGTAAAAGACCTTGAGTTTCTGCCTCCTGCACAGGCTTCAGGATTACGTCTCTTCTGTAGGAAAAATGAGTGAGTTTGATAGGTCTGTAATTCCTTCTTTCTCTTTGCTGCAGCAGCTTATAAAGAGAAACTGTGAGTTTAGCCAGCACCAGTGAGTAGGTGATCTCCACAACAAGCAGAGATGTGTAGATTATCATCCATGTTTTGCACTCTTGAACTTTTCTGCTGATGTGATGAACATAGGGAGTATTTAACTCTGGAGTGCAGGTGAATTTGAAACGATTTGGAGCAATAGAAGTCTCTGGTTGAGTGGTTGTTGGAAGGGTTGTCCTCAGCATGGTTGTTGGAGATGTTGTGTGTGTAGTTGTGGTCAGCGTGGTGGTAGTTCTATAGGGAGTTGTAGTTAGTGAAGTTGAGTGTGTAGTTGTGAGTGGAGTTGTTAATGTGGTGGTTGTCAAAAGTGTTGTTTTTACAGTAGTTGTGAGTTTAGTTGTTAAAGCTGTAGTTTTTAGTGTGGTCGTTGGTTTGGCTGTTGTGGTGAGGGGTGTAGTTGTGGTGGTGGTTGGAGTGGTGGTCATAACAGAAGTTGTGATCATTGTTGTTGTTGTTGTTGGTAACATGGTATGGTATGTTGGCGCCATAGTTGTTTGTCCTATGGTGGAAGTAGCCGTGGTTGATGGTGTTGTTGTGGATGATGTAGTGGTTTTGAGGATTGTAGTGGTTTGTTGTGTTGTTGTGGGTGTAGTGGTTGGCAAAGTGGTGGTGGGTCTTGTAGTGTGCAGTGCAGTTGTTGGTGTTGTTAGGACTGTTGTTGGTATTGTGGTGAGTAAGGTGGTGGTAGCCACAGTAGTTGTAGGTGTTGTTGTTAGGATTGTTGCTGGTATTGTGGTGAGTAAGGTGGTGGTAGCCACAGTAGTTGTAGGTGTTGTTGTTAGGATTGTTGCTGGTATTGTGGTGAGTAAGGTGGTGGTAGCCACAGTAGTTGTAGGTGTTGTCGTTAGGATTGTTGTTGGTATTGTGGTGAGTAAGGTGGTGGTAGCCACAGTAGTTGTAGGTGTTGTTGTTAGGATTGTTGTTGGTATTGTGGTGAGTAAGGTGGTGGTAGCCACAGTAGTTGTAGGTGTTGTTGTGAGGACTGTTGTTGGTATTGTGGTGAGTAAGGTGGTGGTAGCCACAGTAGTTGTAGGTGTTGTTGTTAGGACTGTTGTTGGTATTGTGGTGAGTAAGGTGGTGGTTGTGGGTGGAAGGGTGGGGCAAATTAACTGATCCCTGTTTAACAATTGGATTTGCTGTCCTTTTAAATGTTCTGGATGTTCACAGAGCACTTCCGATTTGACTTTAGCCCCATTGTTTATTATCCAGAGGTACAAGTCTATCAGATTGCAATCACATTGCCATGGGTTGCCACTAAGGTAGAGCTTTTTAAGTTTGGTCAACGACTCAAATACATCCCCAGGAAGTGTCCTTAGACTGTTGTTGGCAAGCTTGACTGTGGACAATAATCCAAGGTTTTCAAACATTTGTGCATCCAATGACTGTATCATATTGTTTTGGACATTAAGCTCAGTGAGCCTCTCAAGGCCATCAAAGTAATCAGAAGACAACTTCACAAACTGATTTCCAGAGAGATCTAACTTCTTAACTCTCTTCAAGGAGCTGAAGATTCCCTTAGGAAGAGTGCTGAGATTGTTTTTTTGGAGGCTGAGCTCAGTCATGTCATTCATTTCCCCAAAAAGAACTGGTGGAAGGTTCGTCAGCTGATTATTCTTTAAGGTTAAAATTTTAAGCTTAGGAAAGCCAACAAAATATTTTTCAGGTAAACTGGTTAGAAGATTACTCTCTAATTCCAATTTAAAAATCTTATTTTTATGTGGAAACAGATTTGGTGACAGTTCTTTGATCTTGTTTCCTTGCAAACTTACTTCCCTTAAGTCCGGTAAGTTTGTGAAAAGATCCTCTGGTATTGTAGTCAGTTGGTTTTCATAAAGTCGTAGAGTATTCAGTTTTTTCAGGTTTGAGAACCAGCTTGTGGAGACTGCAGTGAGATTATTTTTACCCAATTGAAGCTTTTCAAGATTGACAAGATCGTCAAATGTTTGGTCTTCAATGAATTCTATTCTATTTCCTTGCAGCTGTAGATCTTCTAAATGATTTAAACCATCAAACAATCCTTTCTCAAGTCTAACAAACTGATTAAACTTTAAAATAATTGTGTCCAGGAGGCTGTTGTCTTTAAACAAACCCAGAGGCACTGAAGTCAATGGATTATTGGAGATCTCAAGACTTCTTAGATTTACCAAACCATTAAATCCTCCAGGCTCAATTGCTGATATTTTTGTGCCCATGAAAACCACTTTCACAAGCTCTGGATGTCCAGTAAAAGCTCCATTGGGGATCTCTGTAATACGGCTTGACACAAAAAAGACCTCTGTCACACCAGCTCTAAGAGTTTGGGGGATTTCTGTTGTAGAATGGTCGAAAACTATCTGATGGTCTTCTTCAGCAATTTCAATCACCAAAAAATCCATAATCAGTAAAAACAGAAAGAAAGCAGTGATCTCTCCGTTCAACATTCTTGACATTCTGCAAAAATTAAAGGAAGGAAGAAAGTAAACAAAAAACTGAAAATATATATAATTCCCTACATTATGTGACTAAAATATGGAGGACATACATATTTTTTCACATACTAGGTTAAGTATAACAAAAGAGATACAGACTCATACATTAAAGCTGCAAACTGATGGATTGCTTTATAAAGCTGAAGAAGGGGGGTTTATGTATATTCCTTTTATTTGTTTTTATTGTGAATTGCCCAAACAATAAATATTAGCATGTAAATATGTGATACTATAGCCAGATGACTAATCTCAATTGCAAGTCTCTCTGTTAGGTTGGTATCAACCATTTAACAAGAAAAACAATATAAAAATAGATAAGTTGATGTAATACATTATTATAACTATAAAATATACACAAAACCATGCTAATTGTACACATAATTGACTGTTATTTTAGAAAAAAATGTTTTTTATTAAACTTTTTTTATTTATGGTCAGTAAGTTGAGAGTTAACTAATAGATAAAGTTAAAGCATTAAATATGTTACATAAAGGAACTGTCTGCTTGTGCTGATAAAACCTATTATCCTTCATATAAAACAGGTTCTTTCCTTACCTTAATACTTTTGTGCCAAAAATAAAACCATAAGGAAACACAAATAAGTGTTGTCTTCTCAACAAAAAACACAAGCAACTAGAGCTTCAAGGGTTAAAGACATGTGTGGTTGGGTGTAACCAACCTCTGGAGCCTGAGATAAGAGCAGGGCCAGTTGTTTACTCCAAATCTTTGCCGCTTGGTGCCAGGACGACTTAATTTCAAGAGCCAACTGGCATAATTAACAGTAATCAAACACTTGTTATAATTGCCTTCCATGTTTTGATCACAAGGTATCTTGCTTTTTTTATCTGTACTTTATCCACACTCATTGGTTCAGTGATTTGCTGGAGTCAGCTTTGTGTAATAAATGTAAAAAAGACACTTCAGACTGGAAAATCTCTTTGCCGTGGTTACAGACAGTTTTTGGTTTGACATCTTTTATTAGAAGCAACATTTCTATTTAAGAAGTTGAAACTGTGTCTTTTTTTCTCATTGGTCTTGAAAATATCCATTTTTAAATCTCTTTGTGACCAATTGTGTGTCTGTATCTGTATTAAGAGCCAACGAGCTAAGGAAATTAAAATTAATAATAATAAAAAAATCTTATAGCACATGAATAGACACTAATGACACATGAATGTGGCTGTTAGTTCACCTTGATTATAGTCTAATTTAAAAAAAACAAATGAAATGGGTAATTTTTGAATTTTTGAAAAAATGAGAAGCCATTGCCTAGTACAGCTCCAGGAAGCAAAACTTTAAACATCCACTAATTTCTTTCAGTTTAAATGATGTTATCTCCAGCATCCTGATTGCTGTTCCTAACTTCCTCAGCATTGAATTCTGAACATTCAACCTCAACATCCTTTTGCTTGGTCTTGTATTTGCATGCAATGCAGTCTACCAAATGTAGGTTCTAAAATAGTACTTTTAATTCCCTCCACTGAACACTGTTGTAGTGGCCGGAGTTTAAAAAAAAAATTAAGATTCAAAGAATATTAATACATGTAGACAAATATGCCATATGCTGAATATTTCAGTGAAACAACCCCATTCATATGCAAATAAGACACAAAGAAGTACAATGGATATAAAAAATCTACACACCCCTGTTGGGTATTCGTGATGTAAAAAAATGACAGCAATACAAATGATTTCACAATTTTTGCAACCATTTATTTGACCTTTAACCTGTACAATGTATTTGAAAAACACTCTAAAGCCCTTAAGGCGTTGCTGTATGATATATTCAAGAAAAAAAAGAAGAAGAAAAAACTTGAATTAATGAAGATATTTCTAAATTTTTCAATATCCCAGAGAGAAACAGAGGAAATTGATGAAACCTCTTTGATATGTGATTTAAATGACAAGTACTGATGAAAAATAACCCCATTGTTTTTTTTAAACTATATTATATAAGATCTATTTAAACCCCTCTAAATGAGGTGACTGACTAATCAACTTGTTTTTGAAAAAACTCTGTTCCAAAGACTATACTTTCTGTTTTGTCCACATTCAAAGCCAGAAAGCTTAGAGTCATCCAGATTCTTATATCATCAAGACATGCTTTTAGTCTATTCAAGGAATAATTTCATCAGGATTTATGGACAAATATATCCGAGTATTTTTTAGCATAACAGAGGAAATAAATCCCATGCTTTCTAATAATTATACCAATTGGGAGCATATATACTGTAAAGTAAAGAGAATAACTGAAATCTATCAGGATCACCACCATGTTTCTCTGTAAATATTATTTTTTTTTTGGTGAAGAGTGGAAAAACACAACTTTTCGATTTAAGTTCAAAAAGTTCAATCTGGGTTCCATCAGACAATAACACATTTTCCCTAATGTGCTTGGAGGATTTTAGATGTATTTTTGCAAGATTTAGCTTGGATGTTTTTCTTTGTGAGATAAGGCTTTTGTGTTGCCAACTTACCCCATAGCTAGACATATGAAAAAAATGGCAGAGTGGTGTCCGATGTACTTGCCAGTACTTCCTAGAAATTTCTGCAGCACCTTTAGGTTTGCTGTTTGTCTCTTGGCCGCCTCCGTGCTCAGTTCTGTCTCCCCTTGTCTGTTCTGTTCTTGGTAATGTCACTATTGTGCAATATTTTCTCCACTTCACAATGATGGTCTACACTGTGTTTCATGGTATATTCAATTCCTTGGAAATTAAAATCAAGCCTTCACCACATTAATATCTTTAAATAATCAGATTCCTCTCATGCTTTGGAAGCTCTCTACAGACTATGGCTTTTGTTGGAAGATGTGGCCGCAAAAATGTCGGGAAAACCCAATAACAGCTGAACTTCATTTGGGTATTGATCAGAGGCCCTTTAATTGAGGAAATATGTGTGCTGACTATGCACAGCCACATCCCCAGTCAGGACCAGAAATCAACTTTTTTTGGCTACCAGCCATTGTGGCAGGTGGATTGTGAAATCAAAGCTGGCACCTTCCACAGTGGTTTTTTTACCAGCCCATTTTTTATGCCTAAAATAATAGTGAGTGAAACAACATGGTTGTTGAACTTGTATAGGATGCACATTAAAACACTGCTTGGTTATTGACCAACTTAATCTCAGTTATGAATAAACCTACGCAATGACAACTGTATCCCGCCTGAAGTGACTAGCATTTCGAAAATTACAGAAATACAAATAGCCAATCATTTCAATGATGGTCTCACTTATAAAGGTAACATCCAGATGGAAATCTAATTAACCGTATACATGTTTCTTTGTCACTGTTTGTATTCGCGTTTAACTTTTTTTTAAAAGTCCTAACATTACATTATTATCCAAATTTATTTTCCCCATCAAGAAAAGTCTAATATTTTGATTGAATAACATTTAGGCAAACAACAAAGACAACAATCATAACAATAATGTGAAATAAACGGAACCCAAACCGCATATCAATGTTATATCAAGGTCATGCAACGATTGAAAAACCCTTATAAAGAGCAAAGAGTGACTTCTCAAAAGAAGAGTAGAAGGCACCGGTCCTTACCTCTGCTTCCTCAACATCCTCCACCATTGCAGCATCTGGTTTTCCATAACGTCTGGTGTGTTGTTGCTTTCTCAGAGCTATGCATACGGCAATCCCAACAGTACATCTCATCTGTTGCAACACAAGCCAATCTCCAGTCTTGCCATCGCCTTCCTACTTCATATTAACACATTGTGTCCTCCTCATGCCAGTAATATGTCGACACATTTTGTGTTAAAAATCCCAGTAAAGACGGGTGCTTACCTAACAAAATAATAGGCTACATGGTTGATCAACAATTGTTCAGCATTGCATGTTTTCTTAGTGGTTAATTGCCAACCTTGCAGGTAGATTGACAGTTACGCCCGCTAATCTCAAAAGTTGCCAGCATGTGGTGGGTGCCAAATTCATGCCCTATCCCCAGTTATAAAAGGGTGGGCATACTTGTCAACCACATTATTTCAAATGTTTATTTTTACCTCAACCCTCTGAAGGATTTGTGCTTGTTTTTCGGTTATATTGTACAGCTTATAGGTTACATCCAAAGCTTGAAAATGTTTTGAATTTATTTGCCTTGATGTGATTTTTTAAGAAAATCAAATCCTGTCGTTTAAACAGGGGCATGTAGACTTTATATATCCACTTTACCTTGAATAAACAGGAGTTTAAAAGTTGACTTTCACCTGTAACCAGTCCTAAATTGGAAATAATCTTTTTATCTTTATCCTATTATGGCCTTTTTATGGAAGTATAAGAAATTTAGATCATAATTTAGTCATTTTAGATTGAAGTTAGTTCCATTTTTCTAAAGTGTTGATAATGCGATATGTATTTAATGTGAAATGCATTAAAACATAAAGCCGGACATACCAGGTGGTTCTGAGTTATTATGAATAAAACAGGCTCATTTTTAAAACAAATATCTGGCATTTAGTAGAACCACAGCAGGCCTCTGACTAACATCTAGTACAAACCCGTCTCTGTGTGGTGACTTCAGATGGAAAGAGTTTGCTCAACAATGTATAATGGATATGGATTGAAACATTGTTGTTCCAGAACATCTAGTGTGGAACTGGTTTCTGTGATTTAACTTTAAATGAAAATGATTTTCAAATAAATCCTCCACAGCTGTTACAAGAAATAATTTTTCATATTCTTAAAGGTATTGCTAACAACACCACCCACCCTTTACTACCAGGGTTGTCAGATCTGCCTCTTTCCAGTCCAAAAGCAAATGTAAAACCCCACCACCTCTATGAATAAACATTAACATACATTCCTCTAAAACATATGTTAAAACCATAAAACGATGTAACACTTAATACAAATTAATATTTTTAAAATTTCTCTTCTTCTCAAAATGTTACAGGTACAGATGAGATGTACACTCACCGGCCACTTTATTAGGTACCCCATGCTAGTAACGGGTTGGACCCCCTTTTGCCTTCAGAACTGCCTCAATTCTTGGTGGCATAGATTCAACAAGGTGCTGGAAGCATTCCTCAGGGAGTTTGGTCCATATTGACATGATGGCATCACACAGTTGCAGCAGATTTGTCGGCTGCACATCCATGATGCGAATCTCCCGTTCCACCACATCCCAAAGATGCTCTATTGGATTGAGATCTGGTGACTGTGGAGGCCATTTGAGTACAGTGAACTCATTGTCATGTTCAAGAAACCAGTCTGAGATGATTCCAGCTTTATGACATGGCGCATTATCCTGCTGAAAGTAGCCATCAGAAGTTGGGTACATTGTGGTCATAAAGGGATGGACATGGTCAGCAACAATACTCAGGTAGGCTGTGGCGTTGCAACGATGCTCAATTGGTACCAAGGGGCCCAAAGAGTGCCAAGAAAATATTCCCCACACCATGACACCACCACCACCAGCCTGAACCGTTGATACAAGGCAGGATGGATCCATGCTTTCATGTTGTAGACGCCAAATTCTGACCCTACCATCCGAATGTCGCAGCAGAAATCGAGACTCATCAGACCAGGCAACATTTTTCCAATCTTCTATTGTCCAATTTCCATGAGCTTGTGCAAATTGTAGCCTCAGTTTCCTGTTCTTAGCTGAAAGGAGTGGCACCCGGTGTGGTCTTCTGCTGCTGTAGCCCATCTGCCTCAAAGTTCGACGTACTGTGCGTTCAGAGATGCTCTTCTGCCCACCTTGGTTGTAACGGGTGGTTATTTGAGTCACTGTTGCCCTTCTATCAGCTCAAACCAGTCTGGCCATTCTCCTCTGACCTCTGGCATCAACAAGGCATTTCCGCCCACAGAACTGCCGCTCACTGGATGTTTTATCTTTTTCGGACCATTCTCTGTAAACCCTAGAGATGGTTGTGCGTGAAAATCCCAGTAGATCAGCAGTTTCTGAAATACTCAGACCAGCCCTTCTGGCACCAACAATCATGCCACGTTCAAAGTCACTCAAATCACCTTTCTTCCCCATACTGATGCTCGCTTTGAACTGCAGGAGATTGTCTTGACCATGTCTACATGCCTAAATGCACTGAGTTGCCACCATGTGATTGGCTGCTTAGAAATTAAGTGTTAACAAGCAGTTTGACAGGTGTACCTAATAAAGTGGCCGGTGAGTGTAGAGTGCTCCAACTTTTCCTTATCTCATTTGACCAACTTCACCTACTTTTAAGCAGTTCAGAATCCTTAGGAAACTTAAAGGAGCAGGTGCATCTATATGGGGGCTGAAGGAAAAAGCTGCAACAAAATGAAGTCATGGCTTTATTTTAATCCATGAAAATTTAGCAGCTGTCCTTAATGAAATCACAGTTCGAGCTCTCACTTATTCCCCATAAATGTCACTTCTGCTTTCTCCCTCAGTCACTGAGCACTGCTAAAGTCCTCTGAATGGCAGTGCTTTTTTGATAAAAACTATTTACTCTGGCTCCCTTGAAATAATTGCATTGATCATCAGTAGTAAGGTTCTAGTCTACAAAAAATACTAGAAAATATGAACATCAACACTTATCAACACATCAACACTTTTATCAACAATAATTAAAGACTACAAAAAATAAAATCCTGGAGGGATATGTATTTTAAGGTCTTACATCTTCAGGCAAAATAGTTTCATAATTCTAGTAAAATACTTATTTCCCATATTTTGCTTTAAACAGAAAGATTTACGTTTATGTGTTTATCTTTTGAGGCAAGCAAGTCTCAAATACTTTATTCCCAGTCCCCTTTACAATTAAATAAGACTAAAGTTAATTAGATTTTAATTAATCTACTTCTTATGTTTTGTTCCCTTTTCATTAATTAGCAAAAATCGCCATTTTTAGCAAATTCCTTTATTCATTCTCTATGAGCTTTTGTTTTTCCTTTCACTTTTTGTCCAGAACAAAGTTCACCATAGAAAACTTTGACACACAATGTTTTCCTACAAAATGAACAAAGCCTGTTACACACAGAGCTTTTTTCAGTCAGGCTGATTTATTGTGTAGATTATTTTTCTTGTTGTTCTTTAAGATGATCCTTTTACTGCTATATGGTTTACAAGGTTGAGCATGGTAACAATATTGAGAAGCAGATTGTAACACAGTGAAGAAAGTTGCATCTTTCTTCAGGATACAGAAGGTCTTAAGATAGTGGAGTCAGATTAACACCATTATGTAACAAGAGTTAAACTGTTTTCTAAAACCATTGTTATTTGAGAAATCAGCATCAAATTATTGCCAAGTACAGAAAAACACTGGGTTCATATTATTACAGGAAGCTGCAGGTTTGTCTCAACATAATTTGTCTTTTTACCGTTAGACGATGACACATTTATTTTCTTATAATTTCTAAATCACATAACAGAACACAAATACAAACTGACAGTGCCGCCTTTGAGGATCTACAATCAACTCTGCGTTCTTTGAGAAACCATGTTGAAAATTCAACATTTTTGCTGTAAAAGTCTCTGATTGTGCATCATGTTTTTGCGATCTGATCTAAAGCACTGAATTACGATTCCGTTGGCTTATATTTTCATTCCCTCTCCTGTTTCCTTTCCAGCAAACACAACCAATGATGACTAAACTGATGATGACAGTAGAAACTACTGCAAGTGCAATTAGAGTTACAGAAATATCAAAACTCTTTTTATTTTCTTCCTCTCCACCCTTGGTCACATTCTCCTGTTCTGAGGTTGGCGTGGTCTTTATTCCCGTCGATGGAGTGCTTCGTTTGGGTGGATGTGTATGGGGTCTCCTTCTCCTCTCAGTCGAGGTCAAAATAGGCGCTTCAGAAGGGCTTAATGGCATCAGATTTTCATCTGTAAGCAAGGCAATTACCTCACCTTTTAGGCTGGAAGGACTCTCGCATAAAACAAGAGTTTGGTTAACCTTAGAGGGGTGTTGTCTGAGCCAATCCCTCAGAGGTGAAATGCCTTTGTCACATCTCCAGGGGTTCTGCTGTAATATGACATACTTTGCTTTACTTAGTGCATCTAGACTATACTGTGGTAAGTTAGAAAGTGAGTTGTTTCGCAGGTCTATCTCTCCCAGGTTGTTTAGACCCTCAAGGAAACCCAATGGAAGGGAGGCAAGGAAGTTGTGCTCCAATGATATGTTGACCAGACTGGGCAAATGTTCAAACGTCTTGGCTTGGAGAGTTGTAAGTAGATTGGTGTGCAGTGACACCTCCCCAAGGTTTGTCAAACCTCTAAAGGCGCCGTCAGATACAAAGCTGATGTGGTTTCGACTGAGCACCAGAAGACGTAAGTGAGTCAGGTTCCTGAAGGTGTCGTCATCAATACGGCTCAGTTTGTTGTCATACAGCCACAGCTCCTGCAGGGCCATTGGACCGAAGATCCCTGGACTCAGACTTTCTAGATTGTTCTCATACAGAGAAATGTGAGAAAGAAGAGGCAAATTAAGGAAGATTCCTTGCGGAAGTGATGTCAGCCTGTTGTTGGAAACAAACAATTTCTGTAGCTTCAGAGTTTTTAGAAATAAATCTCTGTGGAGATGAGTGATTAGATTGTCCTGTAGAGTTAATTCCTCCAGATTTGCAAGGTCATCCAGACTCCCTACAGGAACTTCATTAAGCTTGTTTTTGTTAAGGCGCAAGGTTTTTAATTCAGAAAGACCCTTGAATGTCTCACTGAATATTTGAGTAACATTATTCCCAGCAATTGATAAGTACTGCAGCTTTGTTAGGCGATGAAAGCTTTGCGCAGGTATATGAGTGATTTCATTCGTGCCCAAGTCAAGTTGTTGTAGCTCTGTTAACTGGGAAAACAACCTTGGCTGGATTGCATAGAGCTTGTTGTTTCTCAGAATCAAAATCTGAAGTTTTTGGAGACTTTGGAACAACATCTCAGATAGATCCTGTATTTCAGTCTTAGATATTCCCATAGATTCAATGTTTAACGTGTCATTGAATGTGCCAGGGTGAATTTCCCTCAAAGATGTGTCCAAAATTACAAACTTTTTAAGACTATCTGAGAAATCATTGAGATCCTCAGCTTTAAGAGAGTAGAATTTACATTCACGAAAGTTGATAAAGGTGGTAGATGACGGCACCGCTGTAGGGAAGTCAGAGAGGCCAGTGCATAGGACATTTGTTTCTTTACATAGGCATCCATTTGGGCAAGACCAAACAGCAGCACCAAGAGAGCAGAGTAGTAGCAGCAATGAAGTTATTGGCACATCCATTGTGGTCCTACAACAAACAAAGGAAACATGTTAAAGCAGGAGAAAATAATGATTGATGCAACAGCTATTTTTAAATTCAAGTGTCCCTTATTAATTATTTTGCAATAAAGTATACATCCCTTCAATAATAGTCTAACAGGATCATTACTATAAAATATGATGGATGGATGGATGGATGGATGGATGGATGGATGGATGGATGGATGGATGGATGGATGGATGGATGGATGGACTGATGGATGGATGGATGGATGACCCTTCTTGCCATGCAGTAGTTTTATAGTCTTTTTCTGGGAAGAAAAAGAAAGAAATGCAGTTTTAGGTATACATTGAACAGGAAGTCTGTTGTTGGGTGGGTTCACATAAACAGATGGGTTAAATTATGCAACTGTAAAATATCTTGAAAGGAAACAACCTGACTTATTTTGCCATTTGTTGCTCGTTTTGTTTTATTTGTGCAAAGAAGTTAATATTAAGGCTAGGGCTAAAGGTTTTTAATGAATAAAAACAATTAGTTTTTCATGCTGTAGGTTTTTGTGTGAACAAAGCAGTTGGAGCAGTTGGAAAAGATGGTAGATCAAAAGAAAATAAATATTTTGAAAATATGTGGAAAGATTATTTTTTTATGCTTTGGTCTATTCTTTACTAGACAAACTTTAAAGTAAATTACTCTGTGAGCATTTTATTGAGTGGAAAAAGATTAATAGCATTTATATTTAGGGATCATATAAATCAGGGGTTCTCAAATGTCTCCATTCTGGGGCCCTTCATAATCATCATAAACTTTTTTCTAAGAGCTGTGAGACTAGCCACAGCTGAAACAAAGTACTGAACAATAAAAACAATAAAATGAACAACTAGAAAACTAGAAGGCAAAGCCTTGAAATATTTTGTTGACAGTTTTCTCAAAGAAGAGCCTGCAAAACAAAACATTTTAAGAAATCCAAAAAATTAGGAATTCAACTAGTTTTGCTTTTAAAGTTACCAAACTTTTAATGCTATGTAATTGTAATGTTAATTTCTTATTTTTACCAACTTATTTAAAAGTAGCACTCGCTTGGAAAATGTAATGAATAAACTAAAAGTCATTAACTTCATTCTTTTATTCTAGTGCTTATTGTCCCAGCAAATGTGTCATCTATATATGTTTCAGGGACAGGAGCACTGATTTACAAACCTTTGACCTTGCTTCCTCCAAGAACCAAATTAACTCTTACTTTTTCAGTATCCTTTTCCGTATAAAAGGACATTTTTTTTTTTTTTACAGATTTTGAATAAATTTTTTGCATACAAATATGACCTAAAATGTTTTTAACATCCTATTATAGTTGCAATGAATAACAAACCTTTTAACAAACTGTTCAGTAATAAGAAGAGAAATAAATAAACAACGCAAGTATGAGAATTGTGTTGGGGCTGGACTTTTTATCTGTCAGTAGCATACCCATGTCATTGACCATTAGAAGATTATGGTGAGATAAAGGGGGACAAGAGACAGGATCAATTTCATTCCCGCCCATTTACTAACACCAGCTAACTCTCTCTAAAGCTCTCTAAACAGCCAATCAGATGGGGTATGCAAACGCCACACTAATCCCACTAAGTTTGACCAATGAAGATCACAAAAAACTTATGATGATGAAATAAAGGAATAAAAAAATTTAAATAATTAAAAGTATATTTAAATGAATATTTTTTTTAAACTGACATCTAGTTATTTAATGTCATAATATTTTAAATGCACATTATAATATTTATTATCACTTTTAATTATTTATTTGTTTTATTAAATTAATAAATGCTAAATTCAATGATTTAAGGGGACATTTAATAGTACGTACATGTATTTGTTTGATATGGATTTTATTTAAACGGTACATTTACTGTTTAAAAATAAATAGAATTTAGTCTATGGTGCTAAAAATAGAATGATAAGATACCATATTTTTGCATATTTATTTCTGTTTTATTTGTTTTTATTTTCCATCTGATTTTCCGAGGACCTCTAGCATTCCCTTGCAGTCCTTTGGGGCCACTGACCACACTTTGAAAACCCCTTATTTAAAAAATTCCCTAAACAATGCTTTAGATGGGCCAGTATACAACAGTACAGAGAACAACCGATTCCAAACTGATATTATAGCATATAGCACATACTGGGAATTTTACACGCACCCATACAGCACCGCTCATCCACCCGACTCCACAATTACAGTGTGTAGTCTATCTATTAATAAAAAAAAATTGACAAAAGAAACCCCCTGCAAAATGGATGCACTATTAATGTGCCTGTAGCTGTTTCAGATCAGTGAGAAAAGGCATAGTAAATAAATAATCACAGCTGTGATGTAAACTTGGCTCCAAAAGGACTCAGATGAACTTATGCAGAGTTGAATAAGAGAAGCACTCTTAACTGTTCTTTGCTACATAAAAAAATGGAGGTCAGGCTGCAAGAGAGCGTTAGTGTGTCCACTGGGAACCTAAAGCTACAAAAGCACTTGATTAAAGGTAGGAACAGGGGCAGTGTGACTATTTGGGGGATATGTGGTGTCTCATACCTGGAAATGATCAATAATAAATTGCTTGTGAGTTTATTTAAATAAAATCTTGAAAATACAGTGGTTCATATACTTCCACAGAAAACTGTGTTTTACCTAACATGAAAAAAATTTACAAAATGTTTGAGTCTGGGGACCTCATTGAAATAAATGCTCCACCTTTGCACCTTTGGTATGCATGCAGACAGAGTGTGAAATGAATGGAGCAGTCTTCTGACTTTTTTAAAAACTTTGTATAAACAAACTCATATTCAAACTACAGGGCAGAGGAAGTCTGGGCACAGTGGGTGATGAGTTTGGCCAGAAGACAGAGGGAAACCATAATGAGCTTATTGAAATCTTAAGTCAGAGTTATTGCTTCTTTATTTTTTTATTGTCTTTGGTCTTAAATCTTTATTCTTTTCTTTTTGTTGTTTTTTATTAATTCCATGATACCAACATAAGGTAGAATTGAATAGAATAGAACATCAGTTAAATCTCTTTTAATACGGAAATTCTGGTAAGTTTGAAGTTAACAGAAGTTGCTTCCTGACACTTTGAATTTGGCTCATATCAATTTGATTTATAACTTTCTTTGTTCTTTTAAATTTCTGTTCAATAAAACAATTAATCTATAGATTCATAGACAGATCTGTATGTGTCACAGATTTGTATGCCATAGAGGGAAGTAACAACACTTATTTATTTCCACTTAAAGCACTATACCAGAATAAGAACCCTATACCTCTTGATAAGTAGCCATGTGTACAGACTGAGGCCTTTTGCTTTGTGCGAGAGGGAAACATTTGCTGGATCCCACATTTGCCACAGGGTACGATCATTAACTGCTAACAGAGCCAACTCAGTTGATACCTAAATCTTTGCTATGATCAACTTAACATTTTAAAACAAACCACTGAACAATTTCTGTTAGTTTTTAAGAGCTCATTCAATTCTCCTCAAAATTGGAGATGACTTTAAATACATCTTTAAAGCACAAACTTTCCATCTTTTGTATGTTTGTCATTGTTAAAGACAGATTACGTGATTAAGGCTTGAACAGTTCTTTCCTTTTACTAATGGCTTTGGCAGGTTTGGTATAAGGCCTGACTTGTTAAACAAATCCGTCTGTGGCTTGGGGGAGAGAGTCATGAGCCATTTCTCAGTGCCTGGGGAACTTTGGGAAGCTGTTACTTCCTCTCAGAGGGAAAAAACTTTCTAAAAAAGGCTCTAATGAGGTCAGTTGCCAAGTCAGCACTTTTAATTTTCTTTCTAAAAATCCGTTATTGAGAAAGTGACTTGAACTTTGCCATGAAGGGTGGTGAGCAGGGCTCTGGCCATAAACAGACATGTGGCACACAGACTGAAGAACAGTGTAGTTGCTTTGGGTTTGTCAAGCTAAGTAGACCTTGAATTGCAAGTGACTTGGCTGTTATTCTGGTTCTGTTGTTAAGGTGATGGCAAAGGACAGGTTTGGAAGGACAGTTTGTTTTTGTTTCTTTATTAGGTGCCCAAGATACAGATAAATACTTCAGAAGTATGTTTGCATACTATAACATTGCTTTCTTTCTTTCTTTCTTTCTTTCTTTCTTTCTTTCTTTCTTTCTTTCTTTCTTTCTTTCTTTCTTTCTTTCTTTCTTTCTTTCTTTCTTTTTCCCCTTTTTTATTTTTACTCTCTGTTTTTCTTTGTTGAATCAGGGGTTGTCCTATCTGTTTGGTATGTGATGGCATCAGTTTATCAATAACTGAAATTTTATCTCATTCTAATTATGTAATATAATTATTTGCATGATTTTCATTAATTTTTCATCATTCTCTGTTGTTGAAGAGCCAAATGCACTGCAATCAAAAACTAAACAGGTTACATATATAAAGGCTGGAGTGCCTAGTCCTATAAAGTTGGTATACTATATTTTTACTTATTAATTGGGAATATTCATATTATGTAGTTAAATCTTGATGGATTACGGATGGGAATTTGTCAGAAAGTAAAAAACATGATTGAAACTCTATTGGCAACCATGTGATAACAACTAAAATGCATTAACTTGAGATATACATCAATAAATAATCAAAATATAAACTTATAATCTTAAAGTTTTATCTTAATAATCATAAGCAATAAATATGAACAACGGAGCGAGGAAGAGGCATAGATGTGATGGGTATTCTTTTCTGGTGGTTTATTATATTTAGTGCAACCGTGCAAAAGATTCCTTTACAGAATAACTTAGACTTCATAGTTAACATAAACATCCTGTATTAAAATGTCACTCTGACCCATTTCTGTTTGTGCTTTGAACCTGACAGCTTTAAGTTCAGACCAACATTAAGGTGTTCTTATATTGACCCAGCAGCCATTAAAAGGGGTTCAATAAATTAAATGCTTTTCTGAATAAACATATATAATTATGTCAGGTTTACTGGAAAAAAAGAATCAATCGAAAGACAACATGTGATCTTTAACTAGCTTGCTTTTATAATGACACGACAGGTTAGAATCCTGGAAATGCTTCTTTTTTTTTTATGACAGCTAAACCATCTGTTTTCACTTATACCTCTAGTGTGGAAAAATCCAGACCAATTAACAGCATGCCCTCATGGCAAAAGTATTTCAAGTTTTCCTGTTCTTCCACAGCTAGTTTGAAACCAAATGAATTTGTTTCCCAAAAAAAATCAGAGCAAGAAAAACTACCTGATACAAAACACAGACTTTTTTATACTAGGGAAAATTAAGTTAAACAGTTTAAAATATAAAAATAGGTAAGAGTAAGAGTAAAATCTGAGCAGAATATCCAGGTTTTAATCTAATACAAGTCTCTTGCTTTTTATATACCCAAATGTGTTTTATATTTTTACACATCTATATTAATTTATGCTTTAGGGTTGTTTTTACTTCATCAGAAACCTTTAAATCTTTGTTTAAAGCAAGTTCCCCAAGCTGGTCAAAATAATCAGAGATAATTGCTCCATTAAATAGGTGACCATGATTATGCAGTACTTACCCTCAATAGTTTTTGTTGATCAGTAAGCAGTTGAGTCGCTGGCGTGGTCTTTTATGTAAAATAGACTTCTGCTGCTTCGTTAATCCTTTTAAAGTTTTCAGTTCCTTCCAAAGTCTCACACTCTCACATTTCCCAACTCTGCCATCTCATCAGTTTTTTTTTTAAGCCTGCTGTTTAGGCTCTTACTGATTCTGCAGTGGATGCCCTGGAAAAGTAGTGGATTTCTCTCACTCTTTTAAGCTGACCAAGTGGAGGGAAACAAGCCCAACCCAACTGTATAACGCCCTGCCTGAACTGATTTTGCTGGCTGGGCATAGGCTCTGAGGGAGGAGTGATCTGTCCCCCAACTTAGCCTTGTTTTTGTGTTGTAAATATGTGTTTGCAGGGAGGATGCATTTTTTATTTTTTTTTTCAACAATAAGAGGGAGTTTTGTGTGTTTGTGGCATGTGTTATATTTTGGGTGTGTCTGTAACATCTGTTGCAGAAATCTTTGGTAGCTTTTGGTACTGTATGTTAGCACAACACCATAAAGACACTTCTGCTCATGTTGATGCCTACTTGTGCTGTTTAAACAACATGAAGTATTTTTTTTCTCTTCACAATGTTTGAAAATTTTTAAGCCATCTGTAAAATTATGTTAATAAGTTTTTGTTTTATCTTCTCAAGCAATGCTCCAATTGTGTAAAAAGGAAAACTAACATTGTCAAATTTAAAAAATTCTTGCAAAGTTATAAAAAAGCAACTTCAATGCCTTCTTAAAACAGACAAGGGGAATTTTGTTAATGTCATTGCTGCTTTCACTACTCAAACTCTCAACATTAGGACAAAGATAACATGGGTGGAGCTAACGTATGGACAGATGCGGTTTCAAGACACCAAACCAGATGTTGGATATGGTTGTGTCACTATCAAATGCAAGAAAAAATAGCCTTATGTTGTTTCAAGATAGTATTATTTTTATTGTTATATAAATGTTTTATTTTTCTAGATGATGTTACCGGGTTCTACAACCATTACAACCTTCTTACAACCTTCTGAGCTGATTGGGTGAAGCTACACCTATTGCCCGCCTACCAATTTAATTTGAGCCAACCACAGTAACAAAGTAAAAGAAGGATTGTTATGTGTTTGGGAAAGCAGAAATATAGTGAGAATTCAGCTTGTAAGTGAGGTTAGACAAGAGGAAGACATTTGTATTGAATATATACTCATTAAAAACACATATAAAATATTATAAAGCCTAGAAATAATAGATTGGTATTTTACTTTTACCATAAAATTTTTCCTTTGTCATTTGTCACAAACGCTTACACCAAACAGGTATATTTTGGTTTGTCAGATAACCTTTATAATCCAAAAACTGCATTTGCCCAAACTAAATAGTTTATATCAGGACAAAAAAAAAAAAAAAAAAAAAAAAAAAAAAAAAAACAGATTGAACAGCTATCTTCTGCCCTTTAATGGAAAAAAAAATCTCACATGGTGTATGAGTGTACCATTACCCAAGACCCGTAAAGTTCTTGGGTCTTCTTCCTGAATTCCTGTAAATTCATAGGAAAAGAATGCCCTCATAGCTCAAAGACAGGGGTAGTTTTTACATTTTTTTTAGAAATTCTTTCCACTGGAGAGAGATATATTTTGTCATAGCCATGCAGCTTCCTCTTCCGGTGCTCACGCTCTTTCCCAGTGTTGGCCAATGTGCTTGTGCTCACTGTTGTGGGAGCTCAGTGTACTGGAAAGGCCTAATCACCCGTTGTCATAGCGATGAACTTGGGCCCCGTTTGTCAATTTATCCTCTTTTGTTTACTTTATGTTTGAAATTCTCATCCCTTCTCATGGAATTTCCAGCATGTGTTGGCACTCTGTGTGAATTACATCGTTCTGGAGCTTGTTTGTGGAGTTAGCAGATAAAATCCTCAACTGTTTTACACCAGAAGGATCAGTCTAAATCTAGTTATGGGTGTGTTAGAAATATAATATTTATTTTAGGCTTTTTTAACTATACTTCATTTGAAGATTGTCTCAGGCTGCTCTCAAAAACTGAATTCTTGTGGTGGATGAGGTTCTCCTCACATTGCTGTGGCTTTATCTCAAAGTGAATGCCTTTCAAATTATGGGAAGGGTGTTTTGTAAAAGAAAGTGTCATCTCAAAAACCTACTGACCATTGTGATCTCTGAGCAACAGCTCAATCTGCTTCCTGTTGTGTCAACTATTACGAAACAATGACTGACCTTCCCAGCATCCAAGTTGATTCACCTCTGTGAAGCACTTTTCTCTGTCATCCACTCAGTAAGCTATTATAATCCAGAAAAAGTTAAGATAAGAAATGACAAGTACTACTTCCCATGAAATCTGAACTGAAATCTGTTTGTTGTTGCAGTGTTGGCAGAAGACATGGATTTTTGTTTTATTTGTTTCAGACTACACACTCACTACTAGGACTAAAAGGAAGTAGTCACTGATAACATATGTGGTATGCAGAGATAATCAGAGGTGCGGAAGGCAGGGATAATGTCATTGTGACACCCAGGATGCAAGTTTTTTTGTTTTCAGAACTAAACATGCAGGTGAAAGTCAGCTTTATTTACACTCCAACACCAGTTAAATAAATAAATCAAATGTTGTTGTAACTTACACAGTAATTCTTAATGAGTTGTTGTATATGTTGATGGCACTAAATCTGGAGAAGCCTTTGTCTTAAGAGACTCATTCCAATTTACAAAGATGTCTGATAATTATTTTTATTTCCAGCAAGTTACTTTTGTTTCTGTGTTGCCCTGCGATGGACTGTCGGCCTCTCCAGGGTGTACCCTGCCTCTCTCCTGTAGACAGCTGGAGATAGACACCAGTACCCCTCGCGACCACACTTGGGAACAGTGTTACAGAAAATGAATGGATGGATATATTTTATTGAACTTTAAAAAGAGAACAATTACAACATTAGACAGATTGGCCATACATCATTCTTAATTCTATTGCTATTACAGTGTCAATTTTTTCTATTTCTTTTCCTATTGCAGTTCTTGTAGCCTGAGTCAGTATGTCTTCTATTATAGTTATCCATTTCTCTTTTGATGGTAGCCTTCCCTCATTTGCTTTTGATAATTGTTTTTGCCCCATCAAAATTTTTTTAACCAAAATATTCGTCAGATTTAATACCATCAAAAAAACTACAAAAAATATAGAACTTCAGGCTTTAAAGAGATGTTTTGGGCATTTCCAAAAAAAATTACTATATGAATGATCATCATCTGTCTCTTCACTTTCTCTCCAGCACTTCTGCTGCTTCTGTAATTGTTTGCTTTTTAATTTTGGTACAGGGGCGGATTCAGGAAATTTGGGACCCTAAACAAAGACAGGCAGGGGGCTCTCTGAATTGAGAAGACAACGCATAAAACAGACCCATTATACAAATACAGAAATTTTAATGGAATAGATATGCATTATTTTATCACTGTAGACAAGCCATGATCTGCTTACCTGTTCTCCATTTTTCATTCGTATGAAATAATAGCTGCATGTATCATGACAGCAGACAAGATAGAAAAGAGCAGGAGGCGGGGTTACGAATGTACTCGCTTTGGAGAGCAGAGTTTGCTGCTTTTATATGTTGTCACCAAAGTTCCCAGTAGCAGAAAAGAAGTTGCTAGATTTGGCACTAAGCGCTTCTTTGGTTTGCTGCTGTCTGTTTGGACCTTTCTGAACCTGGACTGAGTCACACCTAACATTATAAGCGTTTTGATGGCATTTTACCTAAAGCCTTTATATCAAAAACATAATTAATGTGCACAAATAAGGAATACTTGTATTAACAATACATGTAAACAGAGTTTTTTGGGGCCCCCAGGAACTTTGGGCCCTATACAACTGCCAAGTATTGCCTAATGTTAAATTTCCCATTGACTGTATATACATATACACTATATTGCCAAAAGTATTTGCTCACCCATCCAAATTATTGGAATCAGGTGTTCCAATCACTTCCATGGCCACAGGTGTATAAATTCAAGCACCTAGGCATGCAGACTGTTTTTACAAACATTTGTGAAAGAATGGGTCGCTCTCAGGAGCTCAGTGAATTCCAGCGTGGAACTGTGATAGGATGCCACCTGTGCAACAAATCCAGTCGTGAAATTTCCTCGCTCCTAAATATTCCACAGTCAACTGTCAGCTGTATTATAAGAAAATGGAAGTGTTTGGGAACGACAGCAACTCAGCCACGAAGTGGTAGGCCACGTAAACTGACGGAGCGGGGTCAGCGGATGCTGACGCGCATAGTGCGAAGAGGTCGCCAACTTTCTGCAGAGTCAATCACTACAGACCTCCAAACTTCATGTGGCCTTCAGATTAGCTCAAGAACAGTGCGCAGAGAGCTTCATGGAATGGGTTTCCATGGTCGAGCAGCTGCATCCAAGCCATACATCACCAAGTGCAATGCAAAGCGTCGGATGCGGTGGTGTAAAGCACGCCGCCACTGGACTCTAGAGCAGTGGAGACGCGTTCTCTGGAGTGACGAATCGCGCTTCTCCATCTGGCAATCTGATGGACGGGTCTGGGTTTGGCGGTTGCCAGGAGAACGGTACTTGTCTGACTGCATTGTGCCAAGTGTAAAGTTTGGTGGAGGGGGGATTATGGTGTGAGGTTGTTTTTCAGGAGCTGGGCTTGGCCCCTTAGTTCCAGTGAAAGGAACTCTGAATGCTTCAGCATACCAAGACATTTTGGACAATTCCATGCTCCCAACTTTGTGGGAACAGTTTGGAGCTGGCCCCTTCCTCTTCCAACATGACTGTGCACCAGTGCACAAAGCAAGGTCCATAAAGACATGGATGACAGAGTCTGGTGTGGATGAACTTGACTGGCCTGCACAGAGTCCTGACCTCAACCCGATAGAACACCTTTGGGATGAATTAGAGCGGAGACTGAGAGCCAGGCCTTCTCGTCCAACATCAGTGTGCGACCTCACAAATGCGCTTCTGGAAGAATGGTCAAAAATTCCCATAAACACACTCCTAAACCTTGTGGACAGCCTTCCCAGAAGAGTTGAAGCTGTTCTAGCTGCAAAGGGTGGACCGACGTCATATTGAACCCTATGGATTAGGAACGGGATGTCACTTAAGCTCATATGTGAGTCAAGGCAGGTGAGCAAATACTTTTGGCAATATAGTGTATATATATATAGTACATTTCTGTGTGATTTATTTTGGTTTTTCCTATAACTTGTGCATATCATGTTCCTGGTTTTGTTAATACAATTAAAACAAAGTTTTAAAAAAGTGAGTGGTGATTTTTAAACCT